ATGTAGGAAAACCGTCTCCAACTGGAAGGTTGAGCCAACCAGAAAACAAAACAACTCATAACTGCATATCTATTCACCATGATGGTGAATTCCAACAGTTCTAAAAAGAGCAATTTGGAAAAGACAATCTAAAGAGTCTTTAAATTTCTCCTTATATAGCAAATTGATTACAACTCTCTAAAAGAAGTTTGCCTTGATATATTAAGTATCAGGGCTTACTCAGAGCCACCATAAACAATAAAATGTAAGCAGTAAAACAGTGGAATAGTCCTTATGTAGGTGCTATCTTGAGATGTTTTGTGCCCGGGTGGGTCAGTACTCTAGAATGACAAATCATAACAGTAACTCCGGTTCCTATTACTATATATGGTATGGAAGCAGATTATTAAAGCAATATTTATAAGACTTTATTTTCTCCAGACATTACGTGATTCTTTTTTACCCCATAGCAAGACTTGTATGCCATATTCTCCAACTCAGACCAAGAAAATAGCAGAGCTGGGTGTCGCTAGGGTTTTTGCTCATCGGAGGAAAGCACTTTTCACCCACATTGCAGAAACTATAACAGCTTCTTAGGCCAGGACCAAAAAAAAAAAAAAAAAAGCCATTTGCTTTTTTGATTCTGATGGCTTAATGCAGGGTTGCTCAGCATGAACTGCAAAAATCTCAGCAGCTATCAAAATGGCAGCAAAGAATAAAAGGTTCTGCATCTCTTTGCTAACATCTTATGGTCCTCCACAAGTTTGCAGCTCACATTTACAAGTCCTATGTAATATTTCCCTGTTTTTTTGGTTTTTTTTTTGAAGTTAACAAAATTTATTGTCTCCAATTTTTTTTAAAAAAATCAGACTCTTGCAATTTGCTTTGTGTGTGTTATAACGTCATCGTTTGCAAACGTTTAAAAACTGCAACTGCAGTGCAACTGCAACTGCACCCTTCTAAGTAGTGTTTCTCAACCTTAGAAACCCTGAAAGCAGATGGACTTCAGTTCCCAGAATTCCTCAGTCAGCCTGTGTTAAGTGATGTGGACTTCAATTCCCAGATTCAATTCTGGGAGTCGAAGTCCACCTGTCCTAAAAGTTACCAAGGTTGAGAAACATTGTTCTGGAGCACTGTGGGTAATGAACATTTACAACATCCCAACTATTATTCATATATGCAGATTTTTTTAAACAAACGAGGAATATTCATTAGATTGTGCCCAAATCAAATAAATCTTTTTTTCTAGCAAAACAGCAGCTGGTAGAACATTGCGAGTTCCCGAAAAATGGATTCCCGTTGCAAATTCTGTGTTTGTTCATGCCTGGTACCAAGGACCTAATGTGGAACCTAAGAGCTGGAAGGAACCCAGAAGTCATCTAGTCTAATCCTTGCCCTGGTACAGGACTCCACCGCCGTTTCTCTATCTGATGCATCAGTTGTTGTTGTTGGTCATTTAATGACCCTGTAATCCCTTGCGGGGTGGAGTTGGGGCAACTGAATAAAGCTGAGGATTTGTAATACTCTGTCTTGAAAATGTCGATTTGCATTCAACCATTCTCTTAGCAACTGTTCAAAAGTTGCAATAGCATTAAAAAGTAACTTACAACTGGTCCTCACACTTAGGACCACTGAAGCATCCCCATTGCCATGTGATCAAAATGCAGGCACTTGGCAATTGGCATGTATTTATTTGCAGTATCCAGGGGTCATGTGATCACTATTTGTGACCTTCCCAGACGATTTTCACAAGCAAAGTCAATGGGGGAGGCTTGACAATCGCATGATTCACTCAACAGCTGTGGCAAAAATGTAGTAAAATTGAGTGAAGATCACTTAACAACCGCCTTGCTTAGCAACAGAACGTCTGGTCCCAAATATGGTTGTACGATAAGGTTTGCCTCCAGTTCTCAGTATAAAATGGAATAATTCCTAATCATAGCAGTTGATTACTCTTTACAGGAGATTATTCTTTGGAAAGGCCTTCAAAGAGTTGGTGATGTGATGACAGCCTACAACTATAAATGAAAAAAGACACTTGCAAAAAATACTTGAGCATTAGCATTATTTTATGAGTTAAGATTAATGCTAAATTAAAATGTTCTTAATATTTGTTAATGATAATGATTTTAAATATTTATTCTTCCAACCCAGGAGCTGTTGATAAAGTTCTACAGAGGAATTATTGCGTCTGTCATTTGTACTTTGATAACTGTTTAGAATAGAATAGAATAGAATAGAATAGAATAGAATAGAATAGAATAGAATAGAATAGAATAGAATAGAATAGAATAGAATTTTTATTGGCCAAGTATGATTGGACACACAAGGAATTTGTCTTGGTGCATACGCTCTCAGTATACATAAAATAAAAGATTAGTTTGGTACAGCAATCAAACAGGACAGGTACAGACTTCAACAGATAGTTAGGACTGCAGAAAAAACAAATGCAACTAACCCGCCTGTATATTGCCTGGGTAAGAAGGAGGGCTGAGAAAATATCTACAGATCTCTCCTGGCGTAAAATGTTTCAACTCCTCTTCTCGGATGCTGCTACAGGGTATTATTTACATGCCAAAACAACTAGATACAGAGACAGTTTTTTCCCCTCAAGCCATCACTCTGCTGAACAGCTAATTCCCACAGTACTGTCTTATACCTAAGTATATTTACCCACGTGGTATGGCTGTATTATTATTATCCTTCTCACTTTTCTACCACCTCCTCTCATTGGTATCATGATTATGATTATTATTCTGTTGTTTTGCATGTACTGAGAACTTCTGAACCAGAGACAAATTCCTTGTGTGTCTAGTCACACTTGGCCAAATAAAGTATTCTATTCTGTTCAAATTTAGTTTTGCAGTATACCACCCAAAGTCACTTGTTTGTGAGATATGTAGTTATATACGTTAGATAAATAAATAAAATAAAATAAATAAACTGAAATAAGTATATGTGTATCAGTGGTGGGTTCCTCCTGGTTCGGCCCAGTTCTGCCAAGCCGGTAGCGGTGACGATATGAGGTCACCGAACCGGTTCTGCCCCCCCGCCCCCCTGCCCCCCTCCGCGTTTTTCTTACCTTTTATTTGGCCCCACCCCACCCCCACCCCCAATCTATTGCTGCCTCCTGAGTCCCAGCTGATGGGCTATAAGGAAAAAAACTGTTTAAACTCTTGCCATGGGGCTTCAAAGGGCCGCCCTACAGCTGATCAGTGTTAAAAGGCAGTGTGGTGGTAGACCAGTGCCTCCAAAAACAAATGAGTAGACCAGTGCCTGCAAAAATAAATGGGTAGACCAGTGCCTCCAAAAACAAAAGAGTAGACCAATGCCTGCAAAAATAAATGGGTAGACCAGTGCCTCCAAAAACAAATGAGTAGACCAATGCCTCCAAAAACAAATGAGTAGACCAGTACAGCTCTGCAAGCAGTTAAAAGCTTGGTAGACCAGTACCTCTGCTAAATCCTAAAGACTTGTCACATGACCATCAAGCCATGCCCACAAAATAAGCCACGCCCACAGAACCCGTAGTAAAAATGTTTAGAACCCACCCCTGATGTATATGGCTTCAAAATCTAAGGGACTGGTTTGGACAAAACTCAGCAGCACTTTTTTGTGTTGATAAAAATAGGATCGCCAACATCCGATGACGGATATGGCACACGAAGAAGATGAAGTAGTATCAAGACTGCATCAGATAGGGAAGATAAATTTCCCATTTTCCATTCTAGCCGTACTTCTAAGAAAAATATCTGAATTGACTGTTTTTTTCCCCAATGCAAATCACAGCTTTGCTGGAGCAATTCTGGACTAAGTCCCAGTTTCATTTGAACTAATGAAATCTGGTCTTGGGGGTTCAATCTTCATAAACACACTTCAGATTTAGTCCCAATTTAGGGCAATTTCCAAACTAAATACAGATCTATACATAGACCAACCTATGCAATAAAACATGTGTTTCATTGAATGCATGTTGAAACCCTTCACTGGATTACAGCTGTCCCCAGTATGTACACTATATGTATGCATGTGTGCCATCTGTTTGTCATATACTATATGTATGCATGTGTGCCATCTGTTCATCATCTTCATATCCCATTTACATGAATCATTCGTGATATCTTGATCCATTTTACCAAAATATCTTTCATACAGTGTTCTTATTTATTTGTCTTTTAATCTAGTTATCTATTATAAGAATTTATATCCTGTCCCTCAATAAAATTCTAAAGCAGATGACGCTATTTCAAAACATGCTAAAATATTCAACACTGTAAATTAGCAACAGCATAAAAACAAACTCAGCCACGATAAAACACTCCAAATTAAAATAAAATGTATCACTGCACTGAACTAAATTCAGAAGAGCCATCCGGCAATCCTCTCTAAAAAATGGGTTTCACAAAGAGTGTTACCCCCTACTGTTCTGTGAAAAACCTGCATATTTTGTGAGGCAGCATCTTTTATTATCAAGATACATTTGGGGTTTTCAGAGAAGAGTGTTCATTATATGTTATAGCTTCCTCATTACTTTTGTCATCTAACAGGCTGCTTCCACATTTTTTAAAAAAGCCAGGAATCCTGTCATAAACCATCATGCGAACAAGCAACTTTCTGATGCATATGGCCTATTCACAGCAGCTTCACTCCCCCTTCAGATGACTGAATCACAAGTCAGAAAGAGATAACTTCATGTGATATTTGAATGTAGTATCATTGGGAATAAACTAAATTCAAGCCAGGATGAATTGCTGATTTAAGGGTACTTGAGTAAACCTCAAGAAGTTAGTAGTCCCCTTAACTCAACAATTCATCCTGGCTTGAACTTAGTTTATTCTCAATGCTTCAAATAGGGATGCAGTTGTTCAATAAGTTCTTCCAGATTCTACACATGTAGAAAGAAGAAACATACTTGCTATGTTGCAAACACAGGTTGCTGTCCATTCATAATGGGTTTATTAAAACAGGATTCCTACCTTAAAGCGTTGAGAGAGTTGCAATATTTAACGTTTTGTACTTACTCAGGCCTGTTGCATTCTCGAATGGCATTTTTAATTCCCCCACCACATGTTCGTGAGCAAGCTCCGAAGGGGCTCCATGCGCCCCAAGCCCCGTCTGTCATAGGTACTTCTCGCTCTTTGGGAACACAGTGGCCATACTTGCAATGCTAAATTCCAGACAGGAGACCAGAGAAAGAGGTTAACAAGATTATTTTATTGTACAATTTGGCTTCATTCTATCATATTACAGTATTTTTAATAGTAATTTTATTAAAAGTCATAACTGCAGCAGTAAAAGCTAATAAGAAAACTAAAAAAAGTAGAATAAAAGGAAAAAGTAGATGGTGCAAAAAAGAAAGAAAAAAGGGAAAAATAAGGAGACAACAGAAAAGAAAGAAAAGTAAGGATATAGGAAAGAAAAAGAAAATAAAAATATGAAGTAGTGACTTCTTACCATCATAACAAGTACAAACAATTTTACCTTAGGCAGTCCTCAATTTACAACTGTTTCAAGTTAGTACAAACTCTAAAATGTTATTTATAAACCATCCTTGAAGTTATGACTACTGTAGCCCTCCAGCAGTCACATGATTGCATTTTGGGTGCTCAGATTTACAACTTGTCATATAACTGCATTTTGCAACTTTTAAAAACCATTTTCTGGCAAAAAAACACCCATTGGAAAAGCTGGATTCAGACTTACAACCATGTGATTTGCTTAATGACCATAATATAAACAGTTGTAAAACTGAGTGCAGGCACATGGTGACTTATGTCTGCAACAATTTACAACCAAAATTCTGGCCTCAACTGTAGTTGTAAGTCAAAGACCACCTGTAGCGTATCACTTCCTCTTAAAATACAACAGATGTTCTCTTCTTCACACACACATTACAATCTTTTTGAAATAAATCTTTCTCTAATTTTGTAATGGCTGTGGGAATGACCTTGGGGAACAAGAAGAGTGGCAGCCTAAACATAAACAATAAATGAAATTTGAGTCTGAAGGAGAAGAGGTGGCAAAGCTGTTTCAGAAGGGACCTTTCCTAGTTTCTGGGTGAGTAAAAGTGAGAGCGAGAGGGTACTTTCAGACTTGCAAGATTCTGTTAAATGTAGCCTTCCAATAAAGATAGAGCTGGATTTATTGTCATGTTTCTTGTCTGGACTATCTTGAGGGTTAGCAGGTTGTTATAGCAAGAGCACTTAGATTTATATACTGCTTTACAGTGCTTTACAGCTCTCTCTAAGTGGTTTACAGAGTCAGCATATTTTCCCCAACAATCTGGGTCCTTATATTAGCCACCTCGGTAGGATGGAAGGCTGAGCCAACCTTGAGACTGGTGAGATTTGAACTGCCAAATTGCAGGCAGCCGGCAGTCAGCAGAAGTAGCCTGCAGTACTGCACTCTAACCACTGTGCCACCATGACTCATTATGGTTATACTTGTAAAATGTTTCCCTAAAGATAAGCCTTCCTTGCTCTCAAATGAATTGAGAGAGATAGTTTTATTCTGAATGACATACATTAATTTTCATTAGTATCCAAAATTATGTCAATCTATTACCTTGCTGTCTTACTACAACACTACTTTTTATTCTTTATTCTTGTGGTTTTTAAATGTACTACAAAAAGCAATTTATAAATAAACATATGCAATAAAATAAATTTTTAAAAAGCTAGAGTGGTTTTTTCCCTGCATTTCCTCAGAGATATCCAGGCTAGTAGACAATAAATATAATAGAAAATTGAAATTACTTTGAACAATTGAAATTAGGAAAACATTCCATCACTCTGGAAATACTTGTGTTTCTCAATGTAATTAATAATGATAGATAATTCAATGGCACTAGCATTTGAATATTTGCAACAGACAAAGACTTTTAATGATTTTCACTGCCATATTTTTCAACTGCAAATGTATTAGCTGATGCTGCATTGTAGTCATTGTACAGTAACTGAATATGAAAAGAATAAAAAGCTACGCATAAAATAGCTCAAAGATTTTCTTAAGATACAGTGTTTATGTAAAAATTCTCCCCACCACCTGTGTATTTCATGGATAAGATCGAGCTTTTATAATATCTCAAAGTTTCCTTCATACATAAATATATCATGTCAAGATGTCAGAGGAAATTAAGTTTTGATTTACAAAAATCACAGAGAGAAAACTGGTAGCCTAGATTTTAATAGACAGACCATATTTTATGATGATCCAATATCATATGTTTATGTGACAGCAGAAGGGACAATTAAATTTAAATGGCAGAAACAAAGAGCAGAACTTTAAAAAAATTGTGATGGCACCACAAATGGGAAAAAGAAATCCAAGTGTCAAAAATATGGCTCTACCCATGTTGACAAAGGAAGTAACATAAATCTATGAATAATTCACTAATTATTATTGTTGTTGTCACATTATCCTAAACCAAAATTTGTAGTCTCTTCAGTTAAAAAACAGAAATACAGAAATAATGGAAAGCACAAGTTTTTGGTATTTGTATATATTCTTAACAGGATATCTTGACTGAAATGTTACCTCTTAGATGGGTTCAGCACATGGGATGGGCAAAGGGTTTATAAGATGGCAAGGGTGATATAACATGCAGTGTAGCAATTACTGATTCTACTTCTGTATCTGAGCAGAAGCACATATGATTTATTGTATGGGAGACTAATATATTTGCCCAAAGTCTCCATACTAGGCATCACACCAATTTAAGTCAAGGTAAAAAGTCTCCTATGTGAGATATTCAGGATGTTTTAGAAGTAGCAAGGAATTATCCATGGAGCACCTCAAATTACATATAATAGCGGATTATTTTGGCACTCTCATTTTCTGCTTCTAAATCCCAAATCCTCTGAGTCCAATTAAGGCATTGTCTGGGCCAGAGGTCGGCAAACTTAAACACTCAAAGAGCCATTTGGACCTGTTTCTCACAGAAAAGAAAATACTGGGAGCCACAAAAACCTTTTGACATCTAAAATGAAGATAACACTGCATATATCGTTTTTTACCTTTATGCTATGTATAAAAAAACTACAGTGTGTTCCATTTATGTAATCAATGAACTGCTACAGAGAAAAAACAATTTTATTTCTGCATGCAACAAAAACATTTTGAACTCCGAAAAAAAAAGATGGGTAGGAAAGCTCAATAAATTGCGTGCCGGCAGGTGTCACACATTGGCGGTTGTCACACAACTTTTGAGTGACAGGGAGCCACAGCAGAGAGATGAAAGAGCCACACGTGGCTCCAGAACCACAGGCTGCAGATCCCTGGTCTGGGCCAAGAGATCATATTGCCTGCAGTAAGATGCAACAATATGTTAGATCAGAATCCATTTGCTTCTTTAGAGAGGAGGAAAACCTATTCAGTAGAATGAAGTGAACCAGAGCCTGAGACTCACCCCAAAGGATTTCTTTTCAGCCAAAACCTGAGATAGCAAAATCTCAGGCTAATTCAAGAGAGCCAACCAAAGGCATTTAAAGTTAAGTGTGGAACAGAGAGAATGGTTTTCAAAAATTTATTTATTTATTATCAGACTTATATGCCGCAATTTCTCAACAAGGACTCAGGGCGGCTCACAGCAATAAACAACAAGTCCAATTAAAATTCAACAATAAAAACTAAAATTCCCATTAAAACCCCATTCAGTCCAGGGATGGATGAATGAATGGCTTTTAAAGTAGGGGCATTTTTATATTGTAAACACAGAACTGTGCACCATTTAACAGAAAGCCCAAGATCTATCCTGTATGCAGTTTTATTGTTGCAGGGACATCATTACTGTGTCTTCTATGATCGCCTTAGAAACCTTTTGAGCATTAATTATATAAATTGAATTGAATTTGAATTGAATTGACTGCTTTACTTGGCCAAATATGATTAAACATTATAGGAATTTGTCTCCGGTTCAGAAGCACTCAGTGTACATGAAAAGAAACAGAACAAAAATAACAATGCCAATACAATTAAAATAAATTAGCACTGAATTGAGATTTCTGGACATAAATTATAAAAATGTTCTTTTTAAAAAAAAAAACTGGCTCCTACCAAAAATACGCTCTAACAACATGTTGTTAATATTCCTTGAATATACAGGAATCCTCAACTTATGACAATTGAGCCCAAAATTTCTGTTGCTAAATGAAACATTTGTTAAGGCCATTTTATGACCTTCCTTGCCACAATTGTTGAGTGAATCACCACCGTTGTTAATTAGTAACACGGTTGGTAAGTGCATCTGGCTTCCCCATGGATTTTGCTTGTCAGAAGGTCACAAAAGGTGATCACATGACCCTGGGACACTGCAACTGTTGTAAATATGAGTCAGTTGCCAAGCGGCTGAATTTTGATCACGTGACCAGTGGTGGGTTGCCCCTGGTTCGCACCAGTTCTATGGAACCGGTAATAAAACCAGCAGAGCTCCGCCCACCGATCCCGATGTCATCAAAACGCTTCTGCGCATGCAGAAGAACTGGTAGTAAAGGTAAGTAGAACCCACCCCTGCACATGACCCATGGGGATTGCTGTAATGGTCAGAAGTATGAAAAGGGCTCAGTGCCATTGCAACTTTGAATGGTCACTAAATGAACAGTTGCAAGCCAAGGACTACCTGTATGGTTAAGACAAAATGTTGTAACACTGCTTCCCTTGAAAAATGTATGTGACTCTTCCTGTCTCTAATCTCAGAAATAGTACTATACCTTTTTAAAGAAATGGAATCTGTTTCATTGGCAGTTTCTAGCTATATTGTCCTCAGAACAGTCCACTGTCCTTTTATTCTGAAGTGGTATTCTCATGAGTGAATTTTACTAAAGTCAAGTTGGCAAAAATGAAACTTCTATTGTTTCTATAGTAGATGAGGAAACAAGTATGTATTCTACATGCACATACATGCTGCATTTTAAATTCAGGCACATTTTATATTTACACTTCTAAACACTTTATTTAAAGCAGGCAGTATTTTGCATGATAATCAGGCCATTTGATGTTGTACCAAGAATCATAATCATTAATCATATTAATCAATTAATCATTATTAGGATTTTGAAGATACAGATCTACTTTGATGAATACTTCATGTCAAACCATTGGTTGGTTGGTTGTTTTTCATTTTATACACGTTTAATACAAATGCTAAGGTAAGTCACATTATCAAATCATTTTTCTAATAACAAAATTTAAAGAGACAATGGATTTCTGAGTTCAGATATCACAGGTAACTGCAATTTGGTCACAAAACAGAACCAGAAGCTTTCAGTCTTTCTCTTGTTTTATAAAAATAAATAAATAAGGCCAAGTGTGTAATTCAGATGACTGGGCAAGATAAATCCAGAAAATTTATAGCTTGCATTGCAATAATAATTTTAAAAATATTTTGCAATTTAATAACAGCTCTTATTCTCTTTATGCAGTTTATTTACTGAGACTGGCTGATCTATTCTCTTGGCTGTGCCCATTTAGTGATCCACGGGGTGCTTAGATCTGGCCCGTGGGGCCACCCTGAAAACAGCAAAGGACTGGCCCGCGGTGCCTCTTCCAGCAAAAACGAAGCTTGGGAGTGCCGCAGTGGCCCTCTCGAACTCCATTTTCGCTGGCAGAGAGTTGCAGGAGTCACAGTCGAAAATGGAGCTTGAGAGGGTCATGGGTGGCCCTCCCGAGTTCTGTTTTCACTGGTAGAGGGTTGCAGGAAGCTGTTGCAGCCAAAAATGGAGCTCAGGAGCCCCTTTTCACTGGCAGAGTGCTCAGGCCACCATAGAAGCCCCTGACATGAGTGACGTCAAGCTGGCCATGCCCCCCTGGCCCCCTGAGGTCAAACAGAACCCTGATGTGGCCCTCAATGAAAATGAGTTTGACACCCTTGTTCTAAGGAAAGCAATCTGTCTGTTTTTCAGTTACAGGTTAGATATTAACAATATCTGAACAGAAAATGTTTTATCTGCAGAATGATTTTTTGACGCCTAAACTATCATATTAAACAGCGTAGTAGCAAGGAATGTAAACAGTGGGGTAGGCTGTTCTGAGGTGCAGTGGTAAGCCCAGTATTTTCTAGTTAGGTTGGCATCACGTCTCTGATCTGGATAGTTTAGAATCAGTCTGCCTTCTAAAACGCTACAAATAGTTGCACACCATTTATGGGCAGTCAGTAGACTCCAAATGGAAGAGACAGTCTGAAAATTAAAGAAAATCAACACACTAACTTTCTGCACTGGCCTGTTAGTACCTCAGCTGACATCAATAAAACACACACACAGGGTGTTAATTGAGATTGCACTATCCCTTAAGAATAGCTCCATACACACTAAAATTGTTGAAAAGCAAGTATGCCCACTGCAGAATGGATTGATAAGAGACATTTTAAACAACTAGAAGTAACAGTGGAAGGCAGGCCATCTCCTATGAGAAATTTATTTTGACTGAGATCCCAACAATGTCTTATTACAGATGATATTTCCCATTTAGATGTGCAAATTCAATGCCATAATCATATTCTGAAAAATATATCTGCTTTTTGTATCATAGTGGCAGCATGCTAATCCTGAAGTAAACAAATACCGTATAACAGATATTTGTCTGAAAAGTTTAGAGTTTGGATTATTATTTGGTTTAATACTATCCAGCTCAGTGTTCTCACACATGAAATATGTCTAACACATCACATGAGTTTGTCTGCTGTAGGAAAGAGACTTAAAGGAAACATTTCTATAACGTTGTTGGTTTAATTTCAGAGTTTTTCTCGGTATCTCAGGTTTTAGGTCTTAAAATGTATTTTCTTTTTTATTTATTTTTTACTGATTATATATACCCACGAGTTTTAAAATCTGCAGTTCTGAAGCAAAACATTTTGCTTCACTGTGGTTAGAGAATACAGAAAATGTTTAAAAGGAAGATAAACTTTCTCCAATTGAGGGAACTGGACTCCAGATGTTGCATCAGTACTCTGCACTCAAACTACTTGTTCCAAATTAATTGTGGAGTGATGTTGCCTTCAGCAGTGTTTAAAAAGAAAACGTTATGAGATGATATGGGAGAATCCCTCACAGAAATAATCTGTAAAGTAGCCTTCATGCAGTCCAATTATTAATGGTCACCAGTATAAAGTTGGATATTACAGAAAGGAAAAAAAATCTCATTCAAAAGAGAAGGTTGAGCTTTTTCTCCTAGTGAATAAGCAAATAGGAAGTGGCCTGTGAACGAGTACAGTCTGGTGACAGAGAGTTCAAAAATGCTGCTGTCAAACAATAAAATGGTTAAAGATATTCTCAATGAACAGATACCATTATTTGGTGTAGTGGTTAAAGTGCTGGCCTAGAAACCAGGAGACAGTGAGTTCTAGTTCTGCCTTAGACATGAAAGCCAGCTAGTTGACTTTGGGCCGGTCACTCTCTCTCAGACCAACCCACCACATAAAATTGTTGTGGTGAAAATAGGAGGAAAGAGTATTAGGTATGTTGAGTTATTTACAAAAAAATAAAGGTGGGATAAAAATCTATTACATATATATTACATAAATAATGGAAAGAGGTAGAGCAAAGAGACCAACTAACCTTTCCAAGACCACAGTCCGTCCCATCTGCCCACGGTGTGTGTTGCGTACGACATCCTTTATGTGCTCCGTCATCATTAATGCACCATAGTCTTCTGCACTGCTTCTGCTTAAGTGATTTTAAATGGTCTCAGCATTACTCAACAGCCAGTATAACATATGCTATAGGCCACATACATATTTTAGATTATCTCCCTGGTGTTATTACCATCACTGAGAAAGGAAGTATAAACAATGAGCACAATAAACTAGAGGAAGTGACTTGGCTAAGGTTGCAAACGCTGACATTTTTGGCTCAAATGCTTTAACCTCCTGATTGAAAAGCTAAACCTGTGCCCATACAAAATGCTCAGAAATCCCATTATGAAAAATTGGTTAGAAACTTCCTCTTGCAAATGAACAAAACACTGAAAATCAGAAATAGTGAACATTTCTATTACTCCCAAATTTGACAGATTCTTATTGAAATATCTGACCCTATTCTCCATCTGGACTGTACTTGTATTCTCTTTCCTTGAAGTAATTAATGGTTTCTATTTTTAAATTTCGTGATTATTAAGAAAGAGTTGAATATGCTACAGGCAGCTGAGAAAGGCACATGGTCCCCAAATTATTAAGACTTGAGTGTCCTATGCTTTCAAATCAATCCCATTAAAACAAAACCTCTTACATAGATTACCAGTCACTATTTCCTATGAGAGAGATTTTCTTACATATTGTTCTATTCTTTTATTAAAAATACAGATATAAGCTACAACTCTGCAAAAATGTCAGTCAGTTTCCTCTGTAATTTCTATTTAAAATGACTATATATTATTCTGCATTGTATATAACATAGTGGGTAGAATTTAGAATTTACAATTATTTGTAAGTACTGTACGTTTTATTATGTTCAATGGGAATTATTATTGAGTAGATACTGGGAAATTTCATGGATAAGTTGCATATTTTAATTTAGTGTACATTTAAAATGACAATAAAGTTCTGTTCTATTCTATTCTATTCTATTCTATTCTATTCTATTCTATTCTATTCTATTCTATTCTATTCTATTCTATTCTATTCTATTCTACTCTACTTTACTCTACCCAGAGTTATTCCGTCTATTCTATCTTTGTATATATCTATATATCTAAATCTATCTGTTTGTGTATATCTATATCTATATCTATATCTATATCTATATCTATATCTAATCTATATCTATATCTATATCTATATCTATATCTATATCTATATCTATATACAGCCACCTTGCTTTTGAGATAAGGAATGTCCCAAATGACATTCTGATTCTCAAGAAAGTCTCTATTGCTTCTCAGGTCATATAAGGGTTGACTCGATCAGATTAGATTATTATTTATTGTTTAAATAAATAGGAACTTTTTACATCCAGAGCTAGAAACCCTACATTTCTGAAAGATATCGACATCAAGCCCCAATCTATGCAACCAAGTTACAAAAACAGATTCCACCTTTCAAAGTTGAAATTACGATATATGTGCATACTGTATATACTGTAAGTGTGACTGTTGAAGGCATTTAACACATGTTGATAAAACTAGTGATGCATTTAATCTGCAACTCCTCTGATTAGTCATTTTCTATGTCACCTCAATCCTGATTAAATAATCAAGAGGCCATGAGTGTGACATCAACAGTCACAGCTCTTTCATAGCTGTATAAAGAAAACAACAACTCTGTTAAGATATTTGCTTGTATAAACAGGTGATGGTGAATGTCTGTAAACAAGCTCCCTACTTTTTATGCTAATGGATTTTTCTCTCAAAAATTCAACATGCAACCTAATTTTAGTGATTATTTCACTCACACGATGACAAATTCCTTCTGAACATTTAAAAAAAAAAACGCTTGTTAAGTATCTCAATTGCTGATCAAATAGGCTGCCTTCTCGCAATTATTCAGACATAATTTGCTATAACCTTCTTTCACTAAAATCATAGAATCATGGAACTGGAAAGGACCTTGGAGGTCTTCTAGTCTAACCTTCCGCCCAAAGCAGGAGTCCTTATATATCATCCCAACAAATGGTTGTCCAGTCTTTTCTTGAAAACCTCCAGTGAAGGAGAATGGATCAGTATTTCTCAATCTTGGCAACTGTAAATTGTCTGGACTTCAACTCCCACAATTCCCCAGCAAACTTGGTGAATAGCTGAGGAATTCTGGGAGTTGAAGTCCAGACATCTTAAAAGTTGCCAAGGTTGAGAAATATTGCACTAGGCTATGGAATGCATGGGCCATACCAGGGAAGGCTGACAAAATTCCCAAAGGAAGGTGCTGTTTGTTTGAGAGCGGTGACTGGTTCCATTCACCTACATGAAGTCCTCGACTTACAACCACAATTGAGCCCAAAATTTCCATTGCTTAAGGAAGAGAGTTAAGTGAGTTTTGCCTCACTTTGCACCCTTTCTTGCCACCGTTGTTAAGTGAATCACTGTAGTTGTTAATTTAGTAATGTTGTTAAGTGAATCTGGCTTCCCCATTGACTTTGCTTGTCAGAAGGTCGCAAAAGGGAATCACATAACCCCAGGATGCTGCAGCCATCTTAAATACATGCCAGTGTCCAAATTTTGATCATATGATCATGGGGACGCTGCAACAGTCATAAGTGTGAAAAATAGTCATAAGTCACTTATTCTGTGCCATTGTAACTTCCAACGGTCACTAAACAAATGGCTGTAAATCGAGGACTACCTATACAAATCTCAAATCACTGGCTGTATACAAGGCAGAATATTGTAGAAACCTATTTGGGGAATTAAAAACTGAAATCTAAACTTTGGTCAGACCATAACGTTTTTCTTCAGAAGTAAGGTCTTTTTCCAGTTCCAAATCTGGCATACCAAGCAGGCATTTTCCTTTTGATAAACCTAACAGTTGTTCGTATTATAAGCAAACCAAAGAAGTAAAAAAAGCACATTACCATATAAGGGCAAACCTTAGCTCCAGGCCCAAAAATTAACTCGCACTGCTTATTGACATCATACATGTGACCAGGAAGTTGTTGAGGCAAAGTGTAGGTCCTTGATGAAGGCTCATCCAGCAAACACTCCCCGTATCCAGTGCTAGAATGAAAAGCATTACAGTTATCTTCACTACTATAGTGTGGTAGTAGATTAAGGTTATTTTAAAATCTCCCACCAACAGATAATCAGGAGAATATTAACACTGAACAGATAGCACTCGTCCTGCAGTTAAGTAAAACATTCAGTTCATATACCGGTAGTTGCCAGACAACTGAACAATCGCTATCACACCATCAAATGCTGCATTTCATGACATGCACCTGCTCTTAAGAACAGTACTATAGTATACATTAAAATTCAATGCTTGTTTCAAAAATGACTTGGAAGAAAGGCTTCAGACCTCCTGAGAGCACAGAACTTTGCTGCTATTAATTAAACAGCTAAAGCTTTTTTTTTTTTTTTTTTGAGCTTTCGTGTGTGGAAAAAGATGGGACTGACTTAAGAGTCGCATTAACTGTGAAGAAGTAGCATCTATTTTTTTCCCCTTGACTGGAAAAAAAAAAGTGAGTTTCTTTAATGAATTGTAGAGATACTGGGCTCCTGTGAGTTATTTGGCAATTCTTCCAAATGATTTTGGAAGCATACCAAACCCCAGCTAGCCCTATTATTCTGGGAGAAAGCTCTGCTTAAGATCTGGGTTTTATACTACAAAATGAACCTTTTTAGTACTCTTTTTGATATGAAACTCAGCTACCGAGTATCAGTAAAAGTATAGCCAAAAAAGGATAAAAGAAACCAGAGGGAGATATTACTATTTGATGGGACCCTTCCCCCAATTTGTAGAAGATCCTTACAAAAACAGAATTTTTTCCCCCTTAAGAACACAATGGAAAATCAGTTTGCTTAGTAGCTAGAAAACACCTGGGAAAAACCAGAGAGGAGAGAAGGAGAAAACAACAGAATACACAGTCTAACATTAGGAAAAGAAATTATTGCAACTTTCTTTGGTCCAGGTTTTGTGATCACACTCTTTTTCAGGGAAATGTTCTTTTTTTTTTTTTCATGTGGCTTCTGCCGTTTGCCACTTAGTTCTTTCTTTTTACCCAGGACTTTACCAAGGAAAAATGAAACGTTTGGGTAGGAATTCATCCCTGTGCACCTTATGATCCACAAACATGTCATGTGCAGAAAGGATTCAGGAGATGAGGCGCATATATGTATCGGCATTCACTATGCGCTTCCTAAATTTATGTGCTAGTTATAACAACCTTTCTATCCTGCCCTACCTCAAATGATTTCAGGTGGTTTACACTACGGGAAAAATAGCACAGTAAATTTCATTAATGTCTGTTTCAGATCTCATAGGTCAATCACAATAAATTTATATAGCCACCCAACTTAAACAATTTTGGGTGGCTCACAACAGCAGTAAAAACCAGTAACCATAAAACATAATCATAAAACGATAAAACAAAAACAAAATAATGGCATCTTAATCATCTATTCTATTCTATTCTATTCTATTCTATTCTATTCTATTCTATTCTATTCTATTCTATTCCTATTCCTATTCCTATTCCTATTCCTATTCCTATTCCTATTCCTATTCCTATTCCACTCCACTCCACTTTTATACTCCACTGCGCTGCTTTGCAGTGTAAAAACCCAAGTCTTTTCTGGAAAAAAATGTTACAGCAGTTAGAAATATTCAAAAGTGAAACAAATGAAGAAGCATTTAGAAGAAAATGACAACCAATTCAAACATGTAGTGTAATGTATATAATGAACTGTGAATGTAGCCTGTATTTTGGTACACCCTACGCAGAGAGAGAGACATACACATTAGACACTTGCCTACAGTGTATCATTACCATCATATTTATTTGCATGTCACTCTCACACAATATTATGCCAAAAGCAGCTCATAAAGTATTTTTTAAAAAAATCATGTGATATGCATCAAGAAATCATTAAAATCTTACTCCAGAAATTCCGTGATGTATTTACGGCTACATTTTGACCACATCCAGGGGTTAGTGTTGTAGTTGAGGGTGGGAGCCATAACATGTTGCTGGCTTTTTCCTCCTTCTTCTTTGCACTTATTATTGTCATCATGGGGCATGTTAAATCTAAAGAGAGGTAGTAGGTTGACCACTGTGTTATACAATATTTTTTTAGAAAATGATTTGTCCAAATTAAATACTTTTATATATAGCGGATTATATGAATTAAGACAGGTTAACTCCCCTGTTAAGATCAATGAGGTTTAAGAGCTGAATCTGCTGGCTTATGATTTAAATAGGATTCATTGTGCAAAACAGAAGTGCAGAAGTTGCAGATAAGCATACAAAATTTTATACCCTGTTTCTTTGAAATATGAAATGCTTTATTAGTAGGGTTCTTTTCTGTAAACCAGAATCCTCATTCCAAAGCAAAGACCTGTAGCCTATATGCATAATCAGAGGAGCTATCCAAAGTTGGCTAAATATATCTGAACCCAAGAATGATTGATTACATGCCATCAAGTTATTTTCGACTCTTAGCAACCACATAGATATTCTCCATGATTATCTGTCCCTAACTTGAACCCAGGAGCAATCCCAACAAAGAATTTCAATTTCTGTACAGGCAAGGAAGCAAAATATCACCAGCAGCCAAAATAATATCACCAAATATACATAAATTAAGAGGTTAGTCCTCATGGGATTCAAAGATTCATTTACTTATGAATATTTTGCTCTGCATTATAACATACTGTACATATTATGCAACCATTGTAGAAATACTTTTGAATTCTACAATTCACTATGACTGACTGATTAAAACACTCCCAGTTTTCCTAGTTTATTGCAGTTAATTAGCTGTTTCCTGAAAACTATTAAGTTCTTGGAACAATTTAAAACAATTCATTATTCTTTTATAGATTCAGCACATTTATATCCTGCTGAATCTTGCAACTCACAGGAGTTTATAATAAAACACATAAACCAAAATATAATTAAAGCCACAAAAAACCCATCCCAAAGTACAGATAATAAAAAGATGAACTATTATGATAATCCCAAGAGTCCATCCAATCTCTGAATTTACGAAGAGTTCAGTTCCCAAATTTTCAGTTATGCATTAGAACAAAATATATTAAAGTATATTAAAGTTTGGAAAACTTTTGATTCAGCTAGTAGACTAAGCTGTGCTATATCACAGTTGAATGAACACAGGCTTGATTCAAATGTAAGTCCAGATTTGCTGTTCTATTGTCAGCTACTGCATTCCTTCTTTTCTCTTTTACTCTTTTAATTGGGTAAGACTAAATTCCTGTCCCACCTCTTCCCTCAATCCAGTAGGCTTCTAGGAGAAGAACAAAGTGCCTTAAGTTTACTGCTTGCAGAAATTAGTGCAAAGCCAGGACCTTCTGCTATTGTAGGGCATTTTTGGATTCAATAGAGAGTAACTTTAATAGACATACTTAAGATTTATTATGCTGACTGAGCTTGTTGCTTGCAGATGTTTCACTATCCAACTAGGTAAAATAATCACTGCTAGTGAATGTTGAATTTGCTCCCTGTTTATAGACAGACAGTACAGTAGTGGGTCTTGTTAGTATGTGACTTTCTCCTTGGTAGTTCCTTGATTAGGGTATTGGTAAGCATCTTAAATCAAGCTAAATCCAAAAATAATAGGGAATTCTTGAACATTTGGCATTCAGACAAATCAGCCATCAAGAGACATATATAGGTAAACCACATGTATGCACCATTCAAGAGACAATAAAAAAGTTAAGAAGGAAACAAAAAGACCAGAATACATCCTCTCCAGCAGCCAACACCCAGATAAGCAGGGATTAACACCAAACAACCAAGCAGAAAGCAATACCTTAATCAAGGAACTATCTAGGAGAAAATTACACCTCCACAAAAACTAGCAGGGCAAGCTAATACAGTGAGCAAATCTCATCTTTGCTAGCACTGATGATAATGTTGCCTAGTTGGGTAGTGAAATATGTGCAAGCAAGCAAACAAACTCAGAGAACACCAAAGACTCTAAATTGAATACTGAGCTACATATACAGGTAGTCCTCGACTTACAACAGCTCATTTAGAAACCGTTCAAAGTTACAACGGCAATGAAAAATGTGACGTATGACCATTTTTCACACTTACAACCTCTGCAACATCCCTATGATCACATGATCAAAATTTAGATACTTACATGACCATTCCTGTTTCCCAAGGTCATATGATCACCTTTTGCAAACTTTTGACAAGCAAAATCAACGGGGAAGCCAGATTCACTTAACAACCAGATTACCAATTGCAGTGATTCCCTTAACAAGTGTGGCAAGAAAGATGGTAACATGGGGCAAAATTCACTTAACCAATGTCTCACTCAGAAATTTTGGGCTCAATTGTGGTCACAAGTCGAGGCCACACTTATGACCCTTACAGCATCTCCATGGTCATGTGGTCAAAATTTGGATGCTTGACAACTGACTCGTATTTATGACAGCTGCAGAGTTCCGTGTTCATGTGATCAACTTTTGAGAGCTTCTGATAAGCAAAGTCAATGGGGAGGCCAGATTCACTTAACAGTCGTGTTACTAACTTAACAACTGCAGTGATTCACTTAACAACTGGGGCAATAAAGGTCGTAAAATGGGGCAAAACTCACTTAACGACTGTCTCGCTTAGCAACAGAAACACTGGGCTCCATTGTGGTCATAGGTTGAGGACTACCTGTATAGGCTTTTTAAATATATTACCCAATATTGTATACTGCTGTTTTTAAAGTTGATATAAAATGACAGCACATACACATGGCCAAGTTCATGTGCAATTGTAAAAGCAGTACTTAGTCCACTGTCTTCACTAATTGAACAACTTCGGTATGGATCACAGACGGTACCCAATTCAGCCAAACCTGGGAAATTAAAAAAACAATAAAAAAAAAAAGAACTTGTTATAAAGACACACAACATGCTGTCAAAAATGTTATCATCTTAAGGGTAAAAAAAAAAAAAAAAGGAGGTTAAGCTTACCTAAAGTATCACATTTGTCATGAGCTCTACAAATATCCTGCCTGAAAGCAAAACACACTTTTAATGCCTTTAATCTCCATGCAAGTCATCATTTGCAATACAATAAACCTATTCTTCCTGCCAAATGTTAATTTTCAATATTTTTTTCATACCAATTCAGTAACAGCAGGCTCAAAAACAAGAATGAATTTTTTTTTTAAAAAAGTGTTAGAATAATACATGTAAAGTACATATGGAGTAATCTTATACATATTCAACCAACGATCTGAAATATAAATTAACATTAACATTCAACTGCATGCATTTAAATGCTATTATTTTTCTCCTGGCCACAGCCAGGTTTTGGGATGTGATGATCAGCTTGTTATAAGTCACAACTGCATTCCCCACCAATTTCTTTAAAAAAGAAAAGTATATTTCTGTTTTAGAGGTAACAATATCTCTGAATATCAGGGAATTTTGCCAAAATTCAGCCCATGAAGGTATCTAGAAAGATTCTCCATATCACAGGCTGTTCATAATATATTGCTAAATTGATCCTGTTACAACCAGATAGTCCCTTATGCTTTTAACTAGAATCATTTGATATTGCTGCTGTTATGGATCAAGTCAGTTTTCTGCAACTTAGTACTGTCTAGATGTGTTAGGACTATATTTTCCATATTTCCCAGCAGGCATACCCCATGGCTGAGGATTCTGGGAACCTATTTAGGTGGTACCAGTCTGGGGAACCAAGTTTGAGAGCCAATGTGTGTAGTGCAGGGGTGGGCAAATGTGGCCCTTTTACAACCTGTGGACTTCAACTCCCAGAATTCCTGAGACAGCCAAGCTGGCTCAGGAATTCTGGGAGTTGAAGTCCACAGGTCATAAAGGGGCCATATTTGCCCACCCCTGGTGTAGTGGTTAAAGCAGTAGGTTAGAAACTGGGAGACTGGGAGTTCTATTCTTGCGTTGGCCACGAAGCAAGCTGAGTGACTTTTGGCCAGTCACTTTCTCTCAGCCCTTGCAATGGCAAACCACCCCTGAAAAGTCTGGTCAGGAAAACTACATCAACTTGTCTAGACGGTCTCCGAGAACCAGGTATGTTTGAATGGAAAGGAAAAAACAATCACATGATTATTTCAGCATGAGCTGAAAGCTTCCCATGACATACCTTGTCACCAATACAGCAGTATCATGTTTATCTGGATGTTCTTCAGTGAGCTGGTTCTGCGTTTGCTGCCATTGGCAAAAGTTTTTTAGTGTTGTCTGAGCATTGTAAGATATGGCTGGGCCATCCTGAACATAAAAAGGTACAAAAAGAATGGTGATATAATTTTCTATCCTCCTTAGATGTCCTCCCTCTCTGCGCCAGAAGGAAACTGGCATCAACTTTTCAGATGGGCAAATTTTTATTAAAAGGCATCTCATTCTGATAATAAAATACCTATCTGCCATTTTTCTGCCCCAAATATGCCTCAGTAAAATATAAACTCAATAAAGAGTAAAAAGATAGTCATAAAATTGCAAAGTAATATGAACAAGATTCGCAATCAGCTTTAGTAATTATCAACCGTACTAGAAACGGTCAGAAAAATAGCTCTGCGTGTTTTCTCTCCCACAAAGTCCTTCCTACAAAAAGAAAAACTGAGTGCTAAATCACATATTAGATGGGCTCATACAACCCACTTTATTTGATTGCCAAATTAACCTATTTTCTGGCAACGCACTGAATCAAACTAATTAAATTGCCTGCATTCATACAAGGTGCTGATCCACAAAAACAAAACAGCCCAAGTTAAAATCAACTGAAGTTAGCATATTGTGAAAACATAGATGTTAGCTTTTCAACTGAGTCCCAGGATGCTGTAATAGTGAAAGTGTTGGACTAGGATTAGAGAGAGCAGACTATTAGCCATAAAAACACATTAGGCAACTTTTTACCACTCACTCTCCATTAGATGCCTCCAAGCTTCCAGAATGACTGTCGGGGAAAGTAGAGAAATTCTATTTTCAACCTTAGCAACTTTAAGCAGTTTGGAATTCAACTCCCATGATGATTGGGGAATTCTGGGAATCGCAGTTTAAAGGTGCTAAGATTGAGAAATCCTGATCTAGAGGAAAGAGGAATGCTGTCTAAATCTAATAAATAAATTTAATTTGATCTGGCTCCCTGTACTTCAATGGTAGTGAATCTTTTGGCCTGGGAGTGCATGTCAGAAATAGGAAAATATCCTTACTAGCATCGATGATGTAATCTAGTTTGGGTAATGAAATGTTTGTAAGAAAACACTCAAGCTCAGAGAGCACCAAGGACCGCTCAAACCAGAAAATGCGTAACTTGATCCTCCTGGCATGTCACCCCTCACACAACAATAAAAACAATTTTCTATCTTTCCCCTCCCCCATCTAGGCCATGAACAGTGGCATTCAAGTCTTGGGGAACAGGAGGATTGTCCCAGCAGCCTAGTGCTCCCCAGAATCTACCACATACCACTTCTACATTTTCTCTCTTTCTCTCTCTCTCTCCCTCTCCCTCTCCCTCTCTCCTATCTATCTATCTATCTATCTATCTATCTATCTATCTATCTATCTATCTCGGTATACAACTGAGACACTCAGTGACTAATGATGTTTGGTCTTAATGCAAGCTAAAATATATAGGCCCCATGACTGAGATAGATTTAAACTACTTGCCTCTACCAGTCAAGTTTCAGCAATTTGAAACACAGTGAATTGTCAGGCATGACATGTTGTCAAGCATCTCCTTGAAGGAATAATTAAGAAGGCATTTTTGGAAACATAACAAGCAGGTACACAAAAGAAAGGGAGTATTCTCAAAAGCAATTACCTGTTCATTATGTATGATGGCTAATTTCACAATAACAATATTAATTAAATTCCCAATGCTTGGGTCTTTGTATATAGATGCTACCTGCGTAAAAGATAAATTTTTTTTTAAAATGTTAATTAGCATACAAGCAAGGAAAGAATTGACAGCTTTCCCACCCCCTTCTTTTGAACAATTGGTATTAACAAATATACAAGGAAGCATAAAGTGAAAGCTACACAGAAGGAAATGATGCACCATAATGCAGCAGGCAACCAAGACTGCCTGCTGGATATAACTTTTTTCCTTTCAGTAAGCAAGCACAGACGGAAAACAGCCCTGGGCTACCAGACTGACTGAGAATCTTCCCTATCCAGGCTGGTATTATCTTCCTTAACTGATATTATTTATATATCCTCTTTGACAGTCATACAGGTGCTGGAAGCGCAGCTTTTACAGTCATAAAGCATAAAGCACCTTCTTGGTGGTCAGGAAGCAAAAGCCATGATAACTCTACTTTAAAGCCAAAAGGAAATCTAAAGTTGAAATGAGCAATCTAGCAAAAAGAGTGGCTTAAGAAGCATAGCGCAGATTTAAAAGAGAACATAGAAGAAAAATGTTCTTTGTTTATATAATACACCAAAATACTCTAAAACATTACATGGAGAAAAAAAATAAAAAAGGTTTTGGGTTTTTTTTGTTTGTTTGTGGGGTTTGTTTTGTTTTGCTTTGGTTTTTTTCAGAAATCACTGTTCTCCGGGAAAAATTGCTTAGGCGATTTAGTAATTATAAGTCTAGGAACAAACAGAGACCACACAAAAATAGGTTGTTTTTACATACCAAGACTTACCTCAATATGCAAAACTATATACATTTGTAAACAAAAGTCCTGAATGTAAAGATATGTAGCTTCCAGGATCTTCGAGAATAGTTTGGACATAGAAATAATGAACTATTTCAGCAAGTAATTTCATTGTTTGGAGTGGGGATTTCTGGACTCAAGCTGAATGCTGCTTTCAGAACTCCCCCAGAACTGCCCACAGAATGCAATGGAAAAATCCAGGAATTTAGCATATTTACAATTGCACAGTCATTTTCTTGACATGAGTTCTATGTATGGTAAGCACCCTCTACAAAGAGAATTGGCTGTATCTTGGGAGGCTCCCTTTGACCTATCAGATCATGATTCCAAATCAGAATTCCAAACCAGGAGTCTTCCAAACCATTCCATCATGGATAGTCATGTTCTACACCAAAGAACTATTTCACCATGGGTAGTCATGTTCTACACTGAAGAACCATTTCACTGTGGGTAATCATGTTCCACATTTAGAAGCCAATAGAAGGAAAAAGACTAACATAGGCAACCCACTCAGTTTGGTTAGTGCGCAAGTATAACATTTCAGAGCACAGTGGAAGCACACAGCAATATAGAGAGAGCCAGTCTGGTCTATTTTTAGAATTTTATGGGTAAGGGGTTTTCAAATTGGGAAAAGCCATTGGATTTAATTTTGTTTTAAATGCATTTTAATGTTTGTATTGGATGTTTCTTAATCTTGGCTGTTCACCACCCCGAGTCCTTCGGGAGAGGGGGCGGTATAAAAATTTAAATAAATAAATAAATAAATAAATAAACAAACAAACAAATAAATAAATAAATAAATAAATAAATAAATAAATAAATATTGATTAAGGTACTAGGCTAGAAACTGGGAGACAGTGAGTTCTAGTTCCACCTTAGCCATGAAACCTAATGGAGTGAGCTTGGGCAAACTCTGTCAGCCCAACCCATCTCATAGGACTGTTGTTGTGGGGAAAATAGGAGGAGGAAGGAGTATTAGGCATATTTGCTGCCTTGAGTAACTTATAAAACTATTAATGGCAGGATACACATAAATAAATAAAATAAATAAATTTTAATACTTACTATGGACATTAATGTCAAAATGTAGTGCTGAAGATTAGTTCCATGGTATGAAGCCATTCGACTGTCTGCCACCACCATAACTTCCACATATCGAGGATAGGAGAGAAATCGTTTGATTCTTCGTGGACTACTTTTTTTCCTTATGTTGCCAGTGTTATTTTTACTGGATGCAGGAAATTGCCCTAAATCAAGTTTCAAAGCCTCTATGTCAGAGAATACACTATTGGGGGGCCACTCCTTTGCCCTGTTTTGTCTTTTAGGGTTTCTGTGATTTTTTGCATGCCCTGCAGTTTTAAAAGGAAATAAAGCAGTAAGTATTCTCCACAAGATAATTTAGTAACACACAAAAATCCCAATCTAAACTTTACATGTTCTTAGTAAAATAAACAAAATAGCATAGCAATAACACTTAGACTTATATACCGCTAGTACTTTTACAGCCCTCTCTAAGCGGTTTATAGAGTCAGCATATTGCCCCCAACAATCTGGGTCCTCATTTTATCCACCTCGGAAGGATGGAAGGCTGAGTCAACCTTGAACCTGGTGAGATTTGAACTGCCGAACTGCACCTAGCAGTCAGCTAAAGTAGCCTGCAGTGCTGCACTCTAACCACTGCACCACCTCGGCTCATGCTCAAAAGCAGGCATTTAAGTGGAGAAATGAGAAAAGTAGAGAATGTTTGACATCTTTTCCAAATGTGTTTATGAAACAAAACACATGCGTTGACTGTCAAAATCTACTGTTTTTAAAAGAAGTCATGGTGCATTACAGTTAAATTCCCTTAAAAGATATTGCATGTTAATTAGAATTGATAACAAATCTATGTGAATCTACTTCAGACAAAATCTAAATTGTTATATAATAAAGTATATGCTCAAAAAGAAAATGTAAACTAAACTGGCTAAAAAAAAAAGGATAAGAAAGCGACAAAACCATTTCTTAAAAGAGAAACATATAAATGAACTTATTCAATATAATAATAATGCAATTACCAAACCATTCACCTTTCAAAATTGTACTACTATTCTACAGACAGTCAGAACTGAAGAAGCTTCTTGGATAAGAAGCAAATCATCTTCAAGGAAAAACAAAGCCTAGTTGCCTTTTGAAAAAGTATCTTTGGGATATTCTATAAACACTTAAGTTATAGTAATATAAATACCGTGTTTCCCCCAAAATAAGACATCCCCTGATAATAAGCCCAATCGGGCTTTTGAGCGCATGGCAATATGGCCAAGCGCTTATTTCAGGGTTCCAAAAAATATAAGACAGGGTCTTATTTTCGGGGAAACACAGTAGCTACTGTTCAATTTTTAAATAGTTGAATTGAGTCTACACCAGCGTTTCTCGACCTTGGCAACTTTAAGATGTATGGACGTCAACTCCCAAAATTCCCCAGCTACCAAAGAAAGGGAACGCTGGCTGGGGAATTATGTGAAGTCCACATATCTTAGAAGTTGTCAAGGTTGAGAAATATTCCAAGTCATATGATGCAGGGAAAAAAATCTGAATGTATACCTCTATATTTATTTTATAACTCTCATTCTTGAATGCCAAATAAAATTAGCAACCATATTCACTAATAGTTTCCAATGATTCTCTGTCATTAATCTTGTGGGGCTATTTTCCATTGGTTCCCACAGTGTAAATCAAAGCTTGTTTCCTAATAAATTGTTTAACAGAAGATAATCTGCCCAGCTTTTTTTAAATTTCAGCACCAGTAAATAGAATATTACTTATATCAAAACAAAGACAGAAAGACAGAAAAACATAGGTAAGAATAAAGTTGGGCACCATAGTTCTAGAAATATTTAAAAACATATCATAAGATATCCAGGCTATATGACAAATCACATATCCATAATCCCTGTGCCCATAAGAGTTGTTATGCTAAATCAATGTCTCTCAACCTTGGCAACTTTGAAATGTGTTAGATTCAACTCAGGCTGGCTGGGGAATACTGGGAGTTGAAGTCCACACGTTTCAAGTTGCCAAGGTGCTAAACTGTTATGAGAGGAAAATCACAAATTCTTAGTACCTCTGACCCTTTCACTTCCATATTAAACTAGTGCTTCAGAAACTAGCATTTTTCTATTACCCAACCATGAAAAATAAGTGTAAACTTGGTTTCAGGTCTGTGTGGGGAGAAGAATGTCTATAGTAACCTTGACTCAGCCACCTCAGGGCTAAATACAATAAGGAGGGAATTAGTTATTTCAAAAGGCTTTCGCAGAGCTGATTGTTTGTTAACTAATGTTCCCTCTGGCAATTGCACATACTGTAGCGTAGATGGAAAATGATGGGGATTTTCTTACTGGCTGAATCTCAAATGATATTGCCTTTATTTAGAACTGTAACAAATGTACCTTCACTGTGTCTCAGTACACTGGGGATGTGGCAGCAATAAATTGGATTACAAGACTTGCATACAAAAGTCATGAACATGCCTGGAGTAATCTGTATGGTTCTTGTTTAATGCAGATTCTAAAATAGGCCTATTATGAATCTTTGTTCGAAAAGCAAAGAAGTCAAAGAGTAGAATGTGTTCTTAACTAGAAGCATCTTGGATCTAATTGGATCTAAGCAGGGGTGTCCAACATTGGCAACTTTAAGACCTGTGGATTTCAAGTCCACAAGCCTTAAACTCAGAGGTGAAATCCAGCAGGTTCTGGAGAACCAGTAGTGAAAATCTTCAGTAGTTCGGAGAACCGGTAAATATCACTTCTGGCTGGCCCCAAAGTGGGGTGGGAATGGAGATTTTGCAATATCCTTCCCCCAGGAGTGGGGAGGGAATGGGATTTTGCAGTATCCTTCCCCTGGAGTGGGGTGAGAATGGAGATTTTGCAGTATCCTTTCCCTGCCATGTCCACCACGCCACGCCCACCAAGCCACACCCACAGAACCGGTTGTAAAAAAATTTGGATTTCAACATTGCTTAAACTTGCCAACATTGGAGACCCCTGATCTAGAAAACAATGTGTCCCCACATTGCTCTGCTGATGGAAGAGGAAGCAGCAGCTTTGATTGAAAGGATTTTGAATTAGAAGCACAAATCTGAGCCAGCAGTGTGCAGCAGCTGCCAAAAAAAGCCAACACAGTCCTAGGCTGCATTAATAGAGGGACAGCCATTAAGATCACATGAAATATTAATACCTCTTTAAAAGACCACACTAGGAATATTGCATCCAGTTTTGGTCACCACAATATAAAAAAGATGATGAGACTTTAGAAAGAGTGCAGAGAAGAGCAACAAAGAAGGCTAAAACATGAAAAACAGCTGCAGGAATTGGATATGTCTAGTTTAATGAAAAGAAGATCTAGGGGTGATATGATAGCAGTGTTCCAGTATCTCAGGGGCTGCGACAAAGAAGAGGGAGTCAAGCTATTCTCCAAAACACCTGAAGGCAGGAGAAGAAGCAATGGGTGGAAACTAATCAAGAGAGAGCCAACCTAGAATTCAGGAGAAATTTCCAGACAGTGGGAGCAATTAACTAGTGGAATGACTTGCCTCCAGAAACTGTGGGTGCTCCAACACTGAAGGTGTTTAAGAAGAGACTAGACAATCATTTGTGTGAAATAGTAGAGTTTTCTGCTTGAGCAGGGGGTTGGACTAGAAGACCTCCAAGATCCCTTCCAACTTTATTATTCTGTTATTCTGCTGGCCACCTATGGTTGGAAGTGAACTCAGGAAAGTTCTATTGAAGGGCTATAAGAGAAAAAATGAATTCCTTGCAAATTCTGGGTTTTACACAGTCTGGATTAACATATAATAAGGTCTGGCTAAGTGGATAAATGGAAACATAGCAAGGAATATGGAAAAGATACCAGAGCTGGTTATTTAGGTTGGAGTGAAAACTTACAGTCATCATTATTGACAAGGTTATGGGAAAGCATAAGATAGGAACAGAAACCACAGATTCAGTTTCTTCATTACCATAGCTAATTCTCATACATGTTCACTGTCAATTATGGCATTTAACCCAAATAACTTGAGTTTTCCCCATTGTATCTTGGAAAACATTATACTATGCATGTTTGCACTATGCATAATCCCTTGATTAAAGCAACTGCCACAACTTCATCTCCCATGGTCTTCTAAACTGGGTTATACTGTTACACAAAGCGCACGCTGTTAACCCAGGTTTAGAGATATTACTATATATACTGTGTGAATTTCACTAGATAGCAGAGGCCAGGACAGCAGAGAGAAAAGTGAAAGTTAAGAAACAGGAAAAACTTCCCTCTCCTCTACTGTGTGATTGATTGATTTACTTGCAATATTTGTACACTGACAATTCTATGTGGCTATATATATATAGGGACGTGGTGGCTCAGTGGCTAAGAAACTAAGCTTGTCGATTGAAAGGTTGGCAGTTCAGCAGTTCAAATCCCTAGTGCCGCATAAGGGGGTGAGATCCCGTTACTTGTCCTGGCTTCTGCCAACCAAAAAGTTCAAAAGCACGTAAAAAATGCAAGTAGAAAAAATAGGGACCATCTTTGGTGGGAAGGTAACAGCGTTCCGTGCGCCTTTGGCTTTTAGTCATGCCAGCCATATGACCACGGAGACGTCTTCGGACAGCGCTGGCTCTTCGGTTTTGAAACGGAGATGAGCACATATATGCGAGGGGAACCTTTACCTTTAATTCTATGTAATCTCCTGATGATTTACAGATTATTCATGAAACCATTCAAGCAATTAAAACCATAATGTAATCAAATCTCCTTCAGAATCCATATTTCAGCAATGCTATACATTAAACATTTTATGGAATAATCCCATCTTTGCTGCTAGCTTTAAACACCACCAGGGAGGGTGTTACCAGATCCCTATTCCATAACCTTATGTCCTACCTCCCACCAAATCTCACATGGGAGAGGTGCTCAACTTCCCAATTTGGACAGATGCACTGGTAATTTTATCTCCATGCCAGGAAGAGAATAGATGGGGGCGGGGCCAGTCAGAATTTTTACTACCGGTTCTCCGAACTACTCAAAATTTCCACTATCGGTTCTCCAAAACTGGTCAGAACCTGCTGAAACCCACCTCTGATTACAGTGCAATTTATAAATACATCCAAGTTCCCAAGTGCTTGAATTTTGATCACGTAACTGCAAGGGTTATAACTGTGAAAACGGTCATAAGTCACTTTTTTCAGTGCTGTTGTAACTTCATATGGTCACTAAATGAATAGTTGCAAATTGAGGACTACCTTTGTAATTTTTGTAATTACATCTTTGTAATTTTATTTTTAAATCTGCGATGTAGGAACAATAGCATATGCTT